CAAGAAGAGAGAAAAAAAGAAAGGGAAGAAAGAGAAAAAAGAGAAGCAAATGAATGAGAAGAGAGACAAAAAGAAAGAGAAGAGAGACAAAAAGACCGTGAAGAAAGACAAAAAAGAGAGAATAATATATGCTGTTTTATTATTTTATTTTTTTTCCTTTATTGTATGTATGACCACAATACTTTAGGTTCTGTTACGTCTGGTGTGGTCACTATCATTCTTAAGTATATAGAATATATGAAAAGAGATTAATATTTTGTTTATTATTTAAAATAAGTATCATTTATCTTTGTTTACATAGCATGATTATATTTATATGATAATTTTTATTAATAAAATTAGTAATATAAAATTACACAAATCCAAAACATAAACGCGGCGAATCTCTGGAAGTTACATTAAGCAAAAAGAAAAAAAAAAAAAGAACAAGAAAAAGAGAGATAACTAAAAATTGTTACAAATTATAAAAATTAAATTTAAAATTAAATCTATATAATTATTCTTTAAAGAAAATAAATAACAATACATATTATTTTCCCTTTTTTGTCTTTCTTCACGGTCTTTTTGTCTTTCTTCTCTTTCTTTTTGTCTCTCTTCTCGCTCGTATTGCCTTTGCTTTTCCCTTTTCTCACATTCTTTTGTTTCTTTTTCTCTTTTTTTCTCAATCATATTTAACAGGTCTTCTTTATTTTTTATCAAAGTTTTTTTGTAAATTCTTTTATTTTAATAGAGATGTATTTCATATAATCTGATGTATTATTTCATTTAGAAGGTAATATCAGAATTGATTAAACGATCTATGATTTCAGGAGGGTTTATATCGATAGGAGAAGAGAGTGATTTTTTGATGAGATTGAAAATCCAGATAAAAAATGAGATGTAAATTATGTAGAAGAAATAGAAGAGTGAGAGAAAGAGATAGAAAAAATAAGATAAGGTTGCCATTTTACAGATACGAGATGCAAGCAAAATACAAATAGTTTGATTTTTAAACCAGTTTTTGTTTTTTACACACATACAAAATGCACAAATAGTTCAAGTTTTAAATAGTTTTTTGCTCTTAATTAATATCTTCAATTACACCATAATAGTGTTATTCATTATGTTATACGTTCAAAAGATCTTGGACTTTTACGATTTTTTTTTGATTTTTTTTGATTTTTATTTTATTTTTTTTTATTTATTTTTTTTTTAAATGTTAAATTCATGTGAATAAAATTTTCTTCTTTGTTTTTATTCAAATCTCGCTAGTTAATTTCTTCAATTACTCCATAATAGTGTTATTCATTCTGTTATGCGTTCAAAAGATCTTGGACTTTTATGATTATTCTTTATTGTTAAATCCATGTGAATAAAATTTTCTTACTTGCTTTCTTTTTTGTTCAAATTTCAAATGTCCAATTCTCTTTAGAATTTTTCATTTTAAATAAATATATGCATAATGATTCTTGTTTTAGATGACAGTACTAAATTTGCTAAGTTTGAATTTGTTTGTAACCAATACTCTTTAGAATTTTATGTAGTTATTCCTTTTAAGGTGACGAATAAAATTTTAATATATTTAACAATGGTATTATGCATGCGCGATGCTTGTGAATTAAATGTGACTTATTGGCGGTTGCATTTTCAGGTTAAAAAAATTATTTATTTAAAATAAATTATATAAAATCAAATGGGCGAAAACAGATTTTTTATCAGCTCCTGTGTTGGATGATCAACATGATCACACGTGTATTTATAACACAAAAGACCACGTTCAGCATGATTGTGTATCCAGATTTGGTTTACATAGTACAAATACCAGATTCGTTTATCCATATCTATGGTTTTTATTTTTTTTTATTTTTTTTCTCATGCATACATAGATCTTTTCTTTTCTCCAATTAGGTAATGCATATAGTTATATTGGCTTCTAGAATATTAGTTTTATTATTCCTTTAGTGGTTAGTTAAGCATTGTTATAATAATCTATTTTTAGAAAAAATCCTAGCAAATTATTTTAAATATTAATAAAATCAAATAGAAATTTTAGATAATAATTTACGATTACAGTAATAATCGAAGAAGTGATAATTCTGTATAAAACACTAAAATGATAAAGAGGAATATATTCATTAAAAAAATCATAAAAAAATATAAAAGTTTCATAAAAAGACTTTTCTTTTTGTCTTTCTTCTTTTTGGTTTTGAGGTAAACGAAAAGTAATTTCTATAGTTTGTTTATTATGTTGATTGTTTATTTCTTTTTTATATTCATAATGTGGACAGTTTTCTTCATTTTCTTCATTTTTTTACTTCTATACCAGTTATTGAGAAAGTTACGAACTTGTTCTCTAATAAAATTTTAATAAATTTAAAGAAAACAAAATTATTAATCTTACTCGCTCATTTTTAAATAAATATTTTGAGATAAAACTATATTTTTGTTAATATTTTTTATATAACAAAATTTTGGTACAAATTTCTGGCTCGTTCCAGAAGATTAGTGTGATTGTGTATTTGTATAAATCCTAATTTGGTTAATCCGATAGCATGCATGTGTGATTAGTAATCAGGTGTAATACATGGTTGATCACAATACAAATAGTTGGAAAAACGCCCAATTTCACGATTTCTTATCCTTTCATTGTATGGAGAAACTATGAGGAATACATGGTTTAAACGATGCTTAGAGCATTCCCACGCAGTGACTGACACGTAAGATATCCAAATTTTATTCGGAGAAGCTAGTACTTGTGGTTCTTCCGTTGTCAATGTACGAGTGCGAACGGTTGGGTCATTTTTTATCGCTTCAGATAGTCGTTATTAAGTTTTGGCCATGCTTTCCACCTCGAGAGCGAACGAAAAACTTAGTGTTTGCATTTAAATGCACCTTAAGAAATGTTTCAAGGAACGGATGTGTTTAGGCTTTTTTCTACAATAGAAGAGTAAAAAGCACTCTCAAATGTTAGTCATCTCGGGGCATACTACATAGTTTTACCGGTTAAAACTTCAGACTTATAATGCTGAGATGCAACTCGATCCACTGATATTTAGACTTTTGGCAGCTGGATCTGAACTACAAAAGTCAAAATTTACATGAGTTTTACGATCGTGGTTATTGTTCATTCATGGCTTGGGATCCGAACATAATCTCCCTAGTAATTTGGATTCATGTCCAAATTGATCGTTTGCTCTTGTTTTTTAGAGTCGAGTGATATGTAAACCTCCACGTTTGGTTCGACTCGGGCAACGTGTTTTTTATCATTATTAAAAATATGGCTAATAACATATCAACTTTATTTAATTTAATAATAAAATACAGAATATTCATTGCTATTACCAGTTTTTTTATCATGCTCTAACTTGAATTCTATTGCTTTTTCTTTTGTTTTAAACCATTTTGCTTTATGTTTATTTTTTTCAACCCAATAGAATTTCCATTTTTTATATATTTTATCAAAAATAATACAATTATATCCACTTGAATTATTTTTGCTTAATTTACGATTTAATTGATTAATAGTTAAACCATTTCTTAAATTTATTTCTTTATTATCTAAACCTTCGCGATTGATGTGGTCAATCATTCTCCATTCAGGTTTTAATAAACGATAAAAACTAAAAATTTTTTGTTTATAATGTGTTTTTATATAATATATATTAGATTTAGATTTTTTTGGTTTCCAAGAATGCCACGTGTAATTTTTCAAGTATTCGAAATACTTATAGTCAGTGAGAAACATAATACCAGGTTTCTGGGTTTTTACCTCAAGATACAGCTTGTTATCTATTTTTGCCGTACGGTATTCATTCAATTTGAGCCTGGGTAGTGTTCCTAATGAACCTAGGTTCAAAATTCATGAACATGTTCAAAGTTTTGAATAAAGAAAAAAGCATATAATCACAAAGATAAAAATACTTATATCTCATGAT